TTAATCGATATTCCGAATCCAATATTTGCCTTTTTGACCCTTTGACTTTTGCGACGCCCGAAACCGGCCGTAAAAATAACACTTCTTCTTTGAAAAAATTCAAGCTTGAACTTTATCCGTGTACCTTCCGGGCCATTTGATTTTTGAAAATAAGAAAATTGAATTTCGTTCACCAATTTTTTTGATTTTGTTGTTTTGAGAATAAGAAATTACCAAAAATAGCATTTTTTAATTTTTTTAAAATAAGAAATYAGCTTTATTTTTGATTGAATCTAAAAACTGAAATCAATTTTCAATTTTCAAAATAAATTGAATCGTACAAAACTTACTCTACCGGGGGAGGGGTAAGACAAGTCGTGACTCTGTCCCAGGASCATATCTGACGACGCATAATGTGCATTCTGATCAAAAATGGCCGCACTGTTGTCAAACAGAGAAGTGTCATATCAGTTCATATGTTTTACAATTTGGCATTAATCTTGGAAAGTTTTTCGTCGGGATTTTAATCACAGCTGGAACCAAAATAGTTGGCACAATGTAAGTCAACAATAGGTATACTATGGTCAACGTCGTCTTTTTCGTTCATATTGGTTCAAACTTGGTAGTTTCTTTCTTTGTGTGAAGTGTTGTGTTGTAGGTTGGTTTCATATGGTTTAATTAATGTTTCTTCAACCAAAAATGCCATACCATACCATACCACATCACACCACACCATACAATACCATACCATACCATACCACACCACACCATACCATACCATACCATACCATGCCACGCTATGCCATGCCATACCATGATGCGACAACATATCATATCATACCATACCATACCATACCATACCATACCATACCATACCATACCATACCATACCATACCATACCATACCATACCATACCATGCCATGCCATGCCATGCCATACAATAGCATACTAATCCAAATCGATAAATGCATGTTCCTTTCTTCAAAATTACCTTAACACACTTCGTCATACGTATGCTGTACCTTACTGTTCCAGGAAACACACGTTACCTTGGTATATCATAGTTTACACTGCCATTCAGTCATGTTTTATCATGTCAAGCTTTCATTGTTGTTGTTGTTATCGTAATTGTTTGATATAATATATCATACTCTAATCTGCCAATAAGACGTTTCTTATCATAAGTCAACCTTAAAGAAGGGAAAATTGTTCATTATATGGTTGTTATTGCTTTTGAGCCACTTTTAATGTACATTACGGCTTGCTGAGCAAATAAAAGCTATTCACGATTACACATTTTTATGGAATTTCATTTATTTTATTTTCCTAGCTGAAAACTCAGTTCCAGTCTCAAGCTGCGCATGATATAGCTGTAGGATATCAGCACGCTCACACGGGACTAACCCACGCAGTACAAAGAATTTATACCCATCACGGAATTCGTGGCTTTTGGCGTGGTGTCAGTGCTGGGGTACCAAGGAATGCCATTGGAACTTCAACACAGCTGTCTACCTTCGACATTACAAAAGACTTTATCAAAAGTGGGCACTTATTTAGACCAGATAGTTGGTTGATCCCTGCATTGGCGAGCTTTATCAGCAGCATTGCCCTGGTCGTTACCATGACTCCCTTGGATGTCGTCAGCACGCGACTATTTAATCAAAGCGTCAGCCAATCAGGGCAAGGGATTTTATACAATGGAATTTTGGACTGTTTTAGGAAGATATTTTATAGAGAAGGATTTTCTGGATTCTATAAGGGTTTTGGACCTCAATACTTCAGGAGCGGCCCTCAGACTATACTCTCCTTGCTATTTTGGGAGAAATTACGAAAACTTCATTTCGATTATTATACAGTGGATCGTAATCAGTACAACACTGAATCATGAACAATGGCTTAATTAAGTATCCGTTAGTAATATGATTATACCACTAAATATTTAACAGTATTTAATAGCCCACTCCCGGCAAGGGCGGATCCAGCCAAAATTTGGAAGGGGGAGGAGGGGGGG